TGACAGCACATGTCCTCACAAAAACTTGTACACAGGTATTTATTACTGCAGTATTCATAGAGCGAGCCAAAAGGTGGAAATAACCTAAATGTTCATCAGGGACAATTAGAAAAACAAATTGCGGTATATGCAGAAGTGAAATGTTATTCAGACATAAAAAGGAATGAGGTACTGATACGGATAGAACTAGGACAACCCTTAAAGACGTACTAAGTGAAAGAAGCCAGTCACAGAAGACGATGTTTTCTATGATTCCATTCATTAGAAATTCCAAAATAGGGGAATATATGGAGACAGAATGTTGACTAGTGGTTGCTTAGGGCTGAAGGGCAGGAGGGGTTAGTGGGACATGCATGTTTCTGAGGTGATGAAAATGTTATAAAATTGTCTGTGGTGGTGACTGCATGCATGCGTGTGTGTGTGTGTGTGTGTGTGTGTGTGTGTATGGTAAAAGGCATTAGATTATATACTTTACATAGGCGAATTGCATGGCATGTGAATTATTCCTCAGAAAAGCCATTTAAAAAACCCATATGGCCCTGACAGGTGTGGCTCTGTTGGCTGGGCATTGTGCCACAAAGCCAAAGGTCGCCAGTTCGATTCCCGGTTTGCCTAATAGATGTTTCTCTCTCACATCGATGTTTCTCTTCCGCTCTTTCTCCCTCCCTTCCCCTCTCTCTTAAAAAAAGTAATTATGAATAAAATCTTTTTTCTAAAGCCCATATGATCACCGTAAATATTTTACCTAGAGATAAATAAAATCATATGTCCACAGACTTGTAGATGAATGTTTATAATGGCTTAATTTGTAATAGACAAGAACTGGACTACACAACAATAAAAAGAAATGAAGTACCAATCTGTACTTCTCCATCTCTTCACCTTCTTCACCCAGTCCCCCAAGCTGCTCTACTCTGGCAACCACCAGACTATTCTCTTTATCCATGAGGCAGTTTCTGTTTTGTGTGTTTGTTTATGTTGTTCTTTAGATCCCACATATAACTGAAAGTATATCATATCTGTCCTTCTCTGCCTGCCCTATTTCACTAAGCATAGTACCCTCTAGATACATCCATGCTGGTGCAATTGCTAAGATTTCATTTTTTATGACTGAGTAATATTCCATTGTGTGTATGGATCACTGCTTTTTCACCCACTCGTCTACTAATGGCCACTTAGGCTGTTTCCAAATCTTGGCTATTGTAAATAACACTGCAATGAACATAGGGGTGCATGTGTTCTTTTGCGTTAGTATACTGGGTTTCTTTGGGTATAGACCCAGAAGAGGAATCACTGAGTCATAAGGCAGCTCCATTTCTAATTTTTGAAAGGTAAATCCATACTGTTTTCCACAGTGGCTGCACCAGTCTCCATTCCCGCCAACCGTGCAAAAGGGTTCCCCTTCTTCCACATCCTTGCCAATAGTTGTTATTTGTCGATTTCTTGATAATAGCCATTCTGACAAGTGTGACATGATCTCTCGTGATGGATTTAACCTACATTCCTCAGTGTGTCACCAGGTAGAGGCGAGTGGTGTTCACCAGGTTGATGCAGATGCAAACTCAGCTCCAGTGCTAGGTCTGAGGCCACCCAACAAAAGTCTCAGGGTATATATACCCTGGCCAGTTGCCAGGCACCAGGGGCCAGGGCACCTTCGTGGTAGGGCAGGCTCTCGGGGAGTCATCAGGGTGAGGCCAGCAGACTTCACCAGGCTAAAAGGTTTGGTCTTATGGAGGGAGGGTTCTGCACAGGAATGGTGGAGCTGTTCAGACATGGGAGGGAAAAATGGCCCCTGTCCTAGATGCACACAACTCAGTCTGTTCCTGCTCATCTCTGCCACCCGCAGTCTGCCCAGACCTCCTTGAGAACCTTCCAAGAAAATCTGCACCATGGGCCCAGTCTGGCCACAGGCAACAGACTCCTCCAGGAAGTGTGAGCTCAGCAGAGTGGGGCCACAGGGAGTAAGGAGGGTGGGTGATAATTCGTTCCCCCAGGCTGATGCTGTATGGAGGGGTGTGCTCCATTCAGGGAAGATGACATCTTTGAACGGTGTGGGGGAGGGACTCAGCACACAGACCTTGGTGGCTGTCCCTTCAGCCCTCTCCCAACAGCCACACAACCCAGTCTCTCCTTGTATGACTCCAGTTCGCTCTGAGCCACCATCCCTCTGCTGGAGCCTGGGGTGAGTGGCTGGGAATGAGATTTTGTGTGCTGGCCGTTTAAGAAGGTGACTGGGTTTCAGCAGACTCCTGTCCTCCTTGGGGGACAGAAGACCCACTGATTTCTACGGGCAGATGTTATGTCAGCACCTTTTTCCAGCTCTGATGCTCCCGGCGGGGGAGGCCGGTGTGGGGTCCAGACCTCTCTCTCCTCAGGGAGGAACTTTGCAGGGGAAACATCTCTCTAGGTTCTCAGCTGTGGCATGTGGCTACAGGGCCAGCACTTTTTGCCTCTCTGCCAGTCCTACCCGTCTAGATGGGGCTTCTCCTATAAATCTTTGGTTATAAGACTTCCGTTCACCTGGCCTGCAGTTGGTTATTCAGGACGACTATTCTGTGTTTTAGGCATAATTCCAGCTTGGTCCTGGGAAGGGGTGAGTGTGACTTCTACCTACTCTGCCGCCCTCTTCAATCTCCCTTGTTGTTTTCCTATTTTATTCGTGTCTAACTAATTTTTGCTATCTCCTTCCTTCCGTTAGCTTTGGATTTAGTTTTTTCTTTGTTTTTCTTTGTTTTTGTTTTTTCTTAAGTTGGAAAATTTGCTAGTGGATTTGAGATCTTCCTTCTTTTAGAAAGTGTTTTTTACTATAGATATCCCTCACAGCACTGCTTTCGCTGCACCCTGTAAGTTCTGGCATGTTATGGTTTTGTCATTTGACTAAACATATTGTCTAAATTCCATTTTGATTTCTTTTTGAACCATTGGTTGCTTAATAGTGTGTTGCTTAATTTCTACGTATCTGTGAATTCTCTGGATGTCCTATTTTTATCTGATTGATGGAGAACTGTTTTACACCTCTGTCCTCCCCACCCCCACCCCGCATTTTGCTATTGTTATGTTACTGATTGTGGTTGGAAAAGCTCCTTTATGTGATTTCAAATTTTCAAACTTATTCAGATCTATATTATGATATAACATATGATCTATCCTGGAAAATGTACCACATGCGTATGAGGGGGAAAAACGTTTGCGTATTTTGCTGCAGTTGGGTACACTGTTCTCTATATACTTGTTGGGGCCGATTGATTTACAGTGTTCTGGAAGTGTATTTTTCCTTATTTATCTTTTCTCTAGTTGTTCCATCCATTACTGAAAGTGGGCTGTTGAGGTCCTCAAGCATTGTTGTGTAACCGTGTATTTCAATCTTCATTAATTTCAATGTTTGCTTTGTATATTTTGGAGTTCTGGTATTTTTGGCATGTATTTTTATAATTTTTTATAGCTTCTGGGTGAGTTGGCCCTTTTAAAAATATATAGTTTCTTTCTTTTCCTCATATAACAGTCCTACAATAATGTCTACTTCGATATCAACATAGCCATCCAAGTTTATTTGGATTACAATGTGTATGGAATACAACTTTCCACCTTTTCAGTTTCAATGTATGTGCGTCCTTGGATCTAAAGTAGTTCTCCATTAGAAGGCATATTGTAGGGTCACTTTTAAAACCCATTCCTACAACCTTTGTCATTTGTTTAGGGAGTTAAATCCATTTATAATTAAGGCATTTATTGATGGGGAAGGCTTTCCTCTTTCCTATTTTGTTATGTGTTTTCCATATGACTTGTAGTTTTCTTGTCTGTTGTGGCCACCATGCTGTTGTCCTCTTTGTGTTTCCAGTAGTTCTCCTTATTTGCAGTTCTATTCTCCCTGGTTCCATTTACCCATGCTCAATTGCAGTCCAAAAATATTACATGCAAATTTTTATAAATGATATACAAGTTTTAAATTGTGTGTTAATCTTAATGGAATGTAAAATCTCACACGACCCCCTTTTTTTCCAACTCAGGACATGTAGGATAACTACTACAAATACATGAACAAAAAGCTACATGACTACACATATTGAGAGCCCAAGATACGGGATTATCAAATGATGGCAAAAAAAAAATTCATATCCAACATAATAATTTGCCTTTTGCCTTTAAAATTGGACTTCTACAGACAGGGGGCCCTGAAAAGGGCAATAAGCAGCTGAGTGAAACTGGTTGCTTTTGCGTAAAAACAACAAACAAACAAACAAGCAAACAAACAAACAAAAACAGCTCTTTTTAGGCCCCCCTCCCCCCCCAAACAGCATAGGAAACAGAAGGGGAAATAATATGTGAAAAAGAAAAATTCTACACTTTTGGCCTGGCTGGGATGCCTCAGCTGGTTCGAGCGTCTTCCCGTAACTGAGAGGTTGTGGGTTCGATTTCTGGTCAGGGCACATACCTATAATACATTGCGGGTTTGATCCCCAGTCTGCCTACATAGGGTCCCTGGTCCGGGTGCCTATGGGAAGGCAGCCTATGGGAAGGCAGCCTATCGATGCTTCCCTCTCGCACTGATGTTTCTGTCTCTCCCTTCCTCTCTTTCTAAAAGCAATGAAAAAAATATTGTACACATTCAATGGGAGCACAGAGTAGACAAACATCCTAGCAAACATTGATTTTCCTGATAGGTCAAAAAATCATCAATGTCAAGTAAGGGCAAGATTCCCCAGAGCTGGCTGGTAAATCTCTGAAAGCAGGACACCTAAACATGCATCGGTTGTGTCCACCCACTCTGGTTAGGATTTGGAGGTCTCATTAGTGTCTACTTTGGACATGACCATTTCTTGACAACTGCATGTCAGAACTTCCGAAATGTCAAAGATTTTACCCTACTGTAAGCTAACAATTTGTTTTGACACAGTGTCATAGATGCTGGAAGAAGATACAGGACTCCAGAGTCATATGGAAAAGGTGGTTTATTACTCATGCCACAGTGGGCAGCATGAACTTCTTTGCACTGGTCCCCAAATGTCCCCAAGTCCCATACCAATGATAAGAAGTACTGCAGGTGTATGATATGCACAAAGTGAGTTTGCATTACAGTGTAGGAAACTCCAACATTTTATTTACTTTATTTTATTATTTTATTTTAGAGGAATGGTGCAGTGTATTAGTTTTCTGTTGCAGCCATTACAAATTACCCACAAACAGTAGGCTTAACAGTACACCCATTCTTTGTCTCGCAGTCTTCTAAGGGAGAAACCTGGTGGGCTTGACTGGGTCTTCTGCTCAGGGACTCACAAGCCTGTCATCCACATGTCAGCTGGGCCGTGTTCTCATCTGGTGCTCAGGTCCCTCTTCCAAGCTCATTCAAGGATATTGGTAGAATTCATTCCTTGTGGTTATAGAACTGAGTTCCTAGTTTCTTGCTGACTGTTGGCTGGTGTTGATTTCAGCTTTCAGAAGCCACTCTCAGGTTCTCACCACTTGGCCCCCTGGATCTTCAGAATTTCCTGTGTGTGTCCTCCTCTGTCTCTGACCTGTAGATCCAAATTTAAAGGACTCATGGGATAGGTCAGGTCCACCTAAATAATATCCCTTTCTTAAAGTTAACAGTGCTAGGACCTCATCATAGGAGTAAAATCCATCACATGTACATTCCCGGGGATTTATACAGGGTGTGTACACCAGGAGGCTGAGATCTTGGGCCCCATCTTAGAGTCCCACCCAACATAAAGAAGTTTAGCGATGTTCCGCAGGAGCAAGCGGACAGTGCACCAAAGTCCATCCACGGGGGAAACGCCAGTATTTTTAAGGGCCTTTTAACAAGCCTCCTCAGAGGGAAATACTATCTTTATTATCCTGAGCAGCAAACAAATCTGTCCCAGAGGAAAACACTATCTGTATGTTCTTCCAAGGCTGCCTGTTGTACCAGTAGCGTTGAAGAAGAGTTTGAAAAAAACCAGCTAATGCCTCTGGCCAAAATTCAGGGAGGAATGGGAAACCTATAAAGAACTGTTTCCCAACAATGTCCAGCTATTTCTAAGATTTATATGGAGGTACATAGGACTTAGAACATCCAAAGCTATTTTGAATATGAATACCAACGCCGTAGGACTTATACTGACCGCCAGGTTGCAAGACATTTCAGGGTGCTGCGGAATTTAAGAAAGTGTGGCATTGGCATACATTATAGGCACACAGATCAATTTAGCAGAAGCGAGAATACAGAAATACACCCACATGGACAGTCGATTGATTGCCAACCAAGGTGCAAAGCTAATTCAGTGGGGAATGCATAGTGTTATCAGGAACTGGTGCTGGAACAATTGGACACCCATAAGTCAAAAGAAATAACTGTTAAACCTTCCCTTACACCATATACAAAAAAACAACCAGAAAATGACATTAGACTTAAATAGCAAGACCTAACATTATAACATTTCTAGGACAAAGGGCAGGACAAAAGTTAAGTGAAATTGGATTGGAAAAAAATATCTTAAATAGGTCATGAAAAGCATGAATTATAGCAAACAAAATCAACAATTTGGGCTTCCTTCAAGTTAAAATAATTTGTTCTAATAAATACGCTTTAGGAAAATGAAAGATAACACAGAATGGGGAAAATATCTGCAAAAATGCACCCATCAATGGCCCTGTAATTCCAATATACAAAGAATATTTTCAATCAATAGCATGCAAAATATACATTGAAACGAATGAAATGACAGCACAACAACCCAAAAGCCGTGGGACACAGGGAAACAATCCTAACAGGGAAATTCATAGCATTAGAAGCCCATTTCAAAAAGAAAAAAAGAAAGACAGAAAAGAAAACAAGAAAAAGCTCAAACAAACAATGTAACTTTACACTTAAAGGAACTTGAAAAACAACAAAGTGAATAGAAAGGAGGAAGTAATAAAGATCAGAGCAGAAATAAAAACTGAGTCTAAAAAAAAATGATACAAAAGATCAGTGAATCCAAGAGCTGGTTCTTTGAAAAGATAAACAAGATTGACAAACTTTCAACCAGACTCATGAAGAGGAAAAGAGAGAGGACCCCAATAAATAAAATCAGAAGGAAAGAGGAGGAATAACAACTGACACCGAAGAAATACTAAGGATTGTGAAAAAATATTATGAACAACTATCTGCCAACAAACTGGACAACCTGAGAGAAATGGATAAATTCGTAGAAACATAACATCTCCCAAAACTAAATCAGGAAGAATCAGAGAATCTGAAATAGCCAGATTATACCTGTTGAAATGGAAGCAGTAATAAAAAAATAAAAAAAAATGAAAAAAAAATAAACTCCCAATGAACAAAAGGCCAGGACCAGATGGCTTCACAGGTGAATTTTTACCAAACGTTCTGAGAACTAACACCTGTCCTCAAACTATTTTTAAAAATTCAATAGGAGGAATGGCTCACAAACTCATTTTACAGGGCCAGCATTATCTTAATTTCCAAAACCAGATAAAGACACTTCGAAGAAAGAAAATTATAGGCCAATATCCCTGATGAACATAGACACTAAAATGCTCAACAAAATATCAGCAAACTGAATACAGTGATGCATCAAAAAGACCATACACCATGACCGAGTGGGATTTATTCTGGGAATGCAAGGTTAGTACAGCATTCCACAAAACAATAAATGCGATTCACCACGTAAGCAAAATGAAGGATAAAAACCACATGATCATATCAATGGATGCAGGAAAAGCATTTGATAAAACCCGCCACCCATTTATGATAAAAACTCTCAGCAAAGTGGAATTAGAGGGCACATACCTAAACATAATAAAGACCACATATGACAAATTCACTGCCAGCATCATACTCAACAAGCTAAAACTACGAGCATTCCCCCCGCCCTTAAGATCAGGAGCAGGACAGAGATGTCCACTTTCACCTCTTATTCACATAGTACCAGAAGTCCTAGCCACAGCAAGCAGACAAGAGGAAGAAATAAAAGGCATCCAAATTGGAAAGGAAGGAGTAAAATTGTCTTTATTGGCAGATGACATGATACTGCACATAGAGAGCCCCAAAGATGCCACCCAGAAATTACTAGAACTGATAAATGAATCCAGCAAAGTAGCAGGATACAAAATGAATATCAAGAAATAAGTTGCATGTTTATCTGCCAACAACGAAGTAACAGAAGGGGAAATTAAGAAAACAATCCCATTCACAATCGCTTCAATAAGGATAAAATACCCAGGAATAAACCTAACCAAGGATGTAAAAGACCTGTACTCAGAAAATTATGACACTGAAGAAAGAGACTGGAGAAGATACAAATAGGTGGAAGCACTTACCATGCTCCTGGACAGGAAGAATTAACATCATTAAAATGTCCATACTACCCAAAGCAATTTACAGATACAACACGATTCCTATCAAGATTCCAATGACATATTTCACAGAACGAGAACAAATACTCCAAAAATTTATATGGAACCTAAAAAGGCCCCACACAGCAACAGCAAAGAACAAAGTTGGAGGAATCACACTACCTAATATGAAACTATACCATAAGGCCGTAGTAATCAGAACAGCATGTACTGGTATAAAAACAGACCTATAGATCAACGGAACAGAATAGACAGCTCAGAAATGACCCCACCCCTTTACAGTCAATTAATATTCGAGAGAGGATGCAAGCACATACAATGGGCTAAAGACAGTTTATTCAGTAAATGGTGTTTAGAAAATGGGACAGATACATGCAGCAAAATGAAAGTAGACGGCCTTCTTACACAACACAAGAATAAATTCAGAATGGGTTAAAGACTTAACTGTTAGAACTGAAAATCCATAAAAATCCTAGGAGAAAACATAGGCAGCAAAACCTCAGATATCACTCATAGCAAAGTTGTATCAGATATATCTCCCCAGGCAAGGGAAACAGAAGAAAAAATAAGCAAATGGGACTACATGGAACTAAAAGCTTTTTACACAGCAAAGGAAAACATCAACAAAATAAAAAACCACCCGCAGAATGGGAAACATATTTGCCAATACATCTGATAAGGGGTTAAGTTAATGTCGACAATTCATAAAGAACTTAGAAAACTCAATACGAAAAAAACAAACAACCCAATTAAAAAATGGGCAAAGGACCTGAATAGACACTTCTCCAAAGAGGACCTACAGGTGGCCGATAGACATAGGAAAAGATGCTGAATGTCACTAATCATCAGAGAAGTGCCAACTAAAACCACAGTGAGACATCATCTCATACCTGTCAGAATGGCTATCATCAATGAATCGACAAACAACAAGTGCTGGTGAGGATGCGGAAAAAGGAGAACCCCTCTGCATTCTTGGTGGGAATGCAGACTGGCGCAGCCACTGTGGAAAGCAGTATGGAGATGCCTCAAAAAATTAAAAATGCATCTGCCTTTTCATCCAGCGATCTCACTTCTGGAAATTGATCCTAAGAAATGCAAAACACTAATTCAAAAGAACATAAGCTCCCCTATATCCATTTCAGTGTTATTTACAATTGCCAAGATATGGAAGCAGCACAAGTGCCCATCAGTAGATGAGTGGATAACACAGCTATGGGACGTTTACATGGTGGAATACTACTCGGCCATAAAAAAGAAGGCAGTTTTAACCATTGGGACAGTATTGATGAATCTGGAGAACATTATGCTAAGTGAAATAAGCCAGTCAGAGAAAGACAAATAGCATACCATTTCACTCCTACGTGGAGTCTGATGAACATACAGAACTAACAAGCAAAAGAGAGACAGAATCATAGATTGAGAGCACATGACAGCTAAGCGGGTGAGGGTAAGGGGTGGAGTGATGGAACAAAAGGAAACAGGACTCATGGACATGGACCACAGTGTGGTGATTGCAGAGGGTGGGGTGTCTAAGGGTAATGGAAATGGTAATGGAAAACGAATACAAAAAAAAAAAAAGAGAGCAATTGCTGGAAAAAATTAAAATGCTTGAGAAAGCAAAAAAAAAAAAGAAAATCAATAACATGAAAACAACAGCACAATTACAATGGGCAAATATATGAACAGAAAGTTCACCCACTAAGATAAATGGATGGCAATTGAGCCCATGAAAAGATGCTCAACATTGTAAGTAATTAGGGGCATGCTAATTAAAACTAAAATGATATACCACAACACATGTACTAGAATGGCCCCAAGTAAAATGACTGACCATATCAAGCGTTCATAAGTGTGTGATAAGAGTGTAAGTGGTTTGGAATATTTGCAAACACTCGGTCAGTTCCTCGCAATGTTAAACGCACTTGCCATCCTGCTGCTCTTGAGTTTTCATTTTTCATCTAAGATAAATGAAAGCATATGTCCAAAGATTTGTGCATGAATATTCATAGCGGCCCTATTTGTAATAGTCAAAAACTGGAAACAACCCAAATAACCATACACTGAAATATGGCACGACAGCAAAAAGAAATGAATCATTCCTTAAAATACCAGCATGGGTGACTCTCAAAATAATTATGTTGTGTTAAAAAAAAGACAAACCAGAGAATATAGTATATGATTCCATTTACATAAGATTCAACAAAATGCAAGTTAATCTCTAGTGAGAGAAAGCAAATCAGCAGTTGCATACAGATGGGGTGAGGTGGGTAGGGAAGAAAGCAATACACAGGAGAAGAAAGAAGCTTTGGAAAGCGCTGGTTATGGTCACTATTTTGAATTTGATTGGGACTTCCTGAGTACACACAGATGGACTTTTTTAAATGTAAGAAGCAGTAAAACACGGAATCAAAGATCTCTGGAAAGAATACTTCATGGCTTGAAAGTTCTTTGACAGTTTATTAGCCACTTTGCTTTTCTTTAAAGTGAATAATAAGTCAGACTCTTCAAAACATATTTTCTCTACTTGTTTTTTTTTACTTTTTCATTTGCAATTTACTTTCATATTATTCTGTATTAGCTTCAGGTGTGCAACATTGTGGTCAGACACCTTGTCAGACACTTTACAAAGTGTTCCCCCCGATACTTCCAGTACCACCTGGCACCATACATTCTATTTGTCCATTTTAATGTGCATCTCTCTTTTTGTATCTGAGCTCTTATTTCCCAACTATTACTTCGGATGCTATACATGTACTCTTTTCTTCACTGTTAGTAATGTTTTTCTCTCTCCTGATTTACTGGTATCTTATTCTATCTATTGAATACAGACACACCAAAAACAGGTTTTTACTAGAACGTCGAGCATTCTCCATGTAAGTTGGCAGTGCAATCACTAAAGCACGGATTGTTTACCACTTAAGAAGAGCAAAAATACGTGCCATTTTCTCCCATCAGTTTTTGTGTGCACCTTGGAGTCTGAAATGGAGAAAAGTGCAACTAAAGCACCCAAATTGCCAACACTGGTAAATGGATACACTTTGTAAGACTAACACAGGAATCTTCCTCCCTGCTCCTCCATAGGCAAGGCTCCCTTGGGCATGACTTTAAATGAAATCCAAGGATCTTCTCTCCCCATTTGGCTCCGGTGCAGCTACCAGGAGAGCAGAGAGGCATTCAAGGTATAAACAAGTCTATTCCTCAGGGAAAAAATTGCTACTCACACTTATGGTGGAAGAGGCAATGTCACCACACACTGAGGCTCTCCTTCAAGGTACAGCAAGCAGGCCTACAGCAAGTAAGACTTCAGTGCAGGGCTCACAGGCTCCCTGAGCTAACACCACCACGTGCTTTTGTACCAGAGCCTCTGTTTTGCAGTAAAACTCAGTTCAAGCCAGGGAACCGAGGGGCCACCAACAATCTGAAGCAGTCTATTAAAACTCCTGAAATAGGCAGCCCTGCTCCTTTAATTATTATTGAGTTGGTCCAAAACTTTGTTTTTTTCTGTACCATGGCTCAAGTAGCGCCTAGTTGTCTTTAACTTGATTCGACACGATTTTGTTAGGCTGTATGGTGACAGCTGTCATGTCAGCAAGCAGTTTTAAAAACTTATGAAAACTGGTGAATTTTTGCATAGCCATTTTAACATTGAAGGTGGAAGAAAATATGCAACACTTTTGGCATACTATGCTTCATTATTTCAAGAAAGGTAAAGAGCAACTGAAACTCACAAAAAGACTTGTGCAGTGTATGGAGAAGGTGCTGTGACTGATCGAACGTGTCAAAAGTGCTTTGCTAAGTTTCGTGCTGGAGCTTTCTCACTGGACGATGGACGATGCTCTGCCGGGTAGACCAGCTGAAACGAATAGCAATCAAATCGAGACCTTAATTGAGAACAATCAACGTTATACCACACAGGAGATAGCCGGCATACTCAAAATATCCACACCAATAAAGTTATTGGTGAAAATGAAACGTATGTCCTTTATTTTATGGAAAGAAAAAAAAACCCTCAACAAACTGTTTGGCCAACCCAATAATGTATGGAGAAACAACAGGATGACAGATACTCTTCCTTGGGCGAGCCAGCAATAACCCTGGCAGGCAGGGTGTCTACTCTTCACACAAACTAAGACGAGAAGGGGCTCCCCTAAACTCATAAGGGATATGAAGCCAATCATCATCAATGTATTGCCTCTCTGGTCTAAATCCACCCTTCAATATGTGCTCCCTGATAATGGGCAAATTCCTTCAATATGTCTTCTTCAAAGTGAGCATGATGTTGGACTTGATCATAGAAGATGCTAGAAGGACACTAAAGGAGGAAGTGGCTCTCCTGTGACTTCTGGCTCTCGGAGGCGTGGGTGGTAGGATATTCTGGGTGTCCTTTCACAGGTATCAGCCCATAACAACTGTCCTCGTGTTGTTGAACATGCAATCCTGATGTGGCCTGGTGATCAGCTTTTTGTGGCCCTCTTCATAGGGCTATCCTATGCTCCAAGCCACCTACTCACTGTTTCCCTATGCTTGCTCACTCTCCTGCCCCGCCCCTACCAATACCAGCCTTATCTCCTGTAGTGCTCCCAGTGCTACAGCCCTCCCAACACTGAGGCCCTCCGGATTCTACATCCATGACATTGTTATCTCCAGGCCTCCAGCTCCACCAGAACCCCTATTCCTACTACATGTCCACACACTGGCCACTAGCTATGGCATGTCCACACTGATGTGCTCCAGAGGGTTGCTTCCTGCTTACCCTGCAACTGTAGACCAGCTATGGTTCTAAGTCCAGCTCTGGCACGGGCAAACCAGCAAGCTTCTCTGCTGTCCAGTGGCATCTCCTACACCTTCTCCAATGAGGAGTGAACTCCATCCATCCTTGGGGAGGGGCCCCCACTGCAAGTTGGTCTTTCCCTGGGTATTCTTCCTCAGCCCTGAAATACCATAGAATGTTTTATTATATCCTATATGTTATACATTTATCATAGTTTAATAATTCTTTATGTTAAATTTCCCCTGTCTGGTGTGTACTTTCTGTCTCCTGCTTGGATCATGATTGTTCCAGAACACATCTATTCCAAATATCATTCTTAGAATTACTGAAAGCTTCCACATTGAGAGCTGCATCAAGTAAGGGTGCCTACTATCACCCAGAGAGAGTAGCAAAATGAAAGGGGGGAAAGAAGGAAGGAAGGGAGGGAGGGAGGGAGGGAGGAAAGAAGGAAGGGAAGGAGGGAGGGAGGGAGGGAGGAAGGAAGGAAGGGAGGAAGGGAGGGAGAAAGAAACAGACAAAATGGAAATAAATAAGACTGACATAATTGTAAATGGTGTGATGGTGTACATTAAACTCTACAAGTATTTACAGACAAAATGTTAGACTCAAGGTATTTGGAGATTTGAGGGCAAATAATCAACATATAAAAGCCATTTGCATTCTAATTACTAGCAAAAAATTTAGAAAATAAAAATGTCAAAAATAATTCTTTTCAAATATGAAGTACCTAGGGTAAAATGTCCTCTTATGGGAAAAATGTTTTTCCCTATGAGAAAATATTATTGGGGCACATTAAGTAGTGCTTATAAAAGGAGAGACAGACCATCTCCATTAATCAAACATTCAATACTGAAGTCAAATCTATAAACTCAACACAAGCATAATTAGAACTTCAAACAAGCTTACGGTTGAACTTTCTCTCATGATTAATACTTTAAATGGAGTCAACAGAGGCTGAAAATAACCAAGATGATTTGACAAACAGGGTAGAATTGACTGGCCTCCTCCAAACATCATGATTGGCTATAGAGCTGTAGTAATTAATACTGATGTGCGGCATTTCAAATAGGCGGATGAACTGAGACTAACCCATACCTAGGTAGACGCTGGATTTATGATTCGTGTGGTGCTGCAAATAAGCTGGAAAAGTGCAGACTTTTCCATAAATGGTTTACTGAGACAATCAGGTATCCACATGAAAGGAAACAGAACCCCTCTCCACACAAACAACAATTGCAAGGGGATTAAGACCTAACTGTGAAAGGACAAACCATAAATATTTTAAGAAACAATATAGAGAATATTTGTATGGCCCCAGGGCTGGGGCAGATTTCTTAAAACAGAAAGCGCTAACCATAAGGGGAAGATCGATAGATTTGACTACAGTAGTCCTCCTTTACCCGCAGGAGATACATTCCAAGACACCCAGAGGATGCCTGAAAATCTGTACATACTATGCTTTTTCCTATACATATATACATGCATACATACATACATATATACATACAATCAAGTTTAATTTATATATTAGGCACAGTAAGAGATTAATAACTACAACTACTAATAAAATAGAACAATCACAACAATATACAGTAATACAAGTTACGCAAATGTGGGCTCTTTCTCTCTCTGGAAATATCTCTCTCTTTCCCTCCTCCCTCTGGAAATATCTTTCTGGACTCTGCGTACAGCACTGATACGCTGCACAAAGGGATGGTTCACATCCTGGGCAGAAAGGAGTGTGGACAGTGTGAGATTTCATCATGCTACCCAGAATGATGTGAATTCAAAACTTATAAGTTTTACACTTCTGGAAGTTTCCATTTCATATTTGAGACCATAATTGACCACAGGTAACTGAAACCACAGACTGGGGGACTAGACTATATTACGATTGAGACCTTCTATTCCCAAAGCACTGCGTAAAGCACACGGAAACACAAACAACAGAGCAAGGGAATGTTTTGGCCCATCATATAACCACCAATGGACTGGTATTTAAAACACATAAAGAGTTCATTAAATCAGAAAGTACATGATGTAAAACAACAGAGAAATGGGTGAGAGTTGCATTCGAACAGACCTTTCACAGGAGAGAAAAGTCTAAAAGGCTTTTAGACACGTGAGAACATGCAACAGCTTAATATTAAAAGCAAACAATGATTTAAAGTCTGGCACTTCTTGGGGTAGGTTAAGATGTGTACCAGCAGGAACTCTCTCTGCTACTGTTAAGACAGTAAATTGTTACAACCACTACAGAAAGCGATTTGCCACCATCTAGAAAAGTCGTTTTCTTTCAGCTGGCAATGCTAGCTCCATGACCTCAGTGTTCTGGCCCAGGACTGTGTTAACTCCCCAGCCCTGTGTCATAATTTAGTCCACAGGCATCTGGGTTGTTTTTTCCTCCCACAGCACATAACAGTGGTTCAACACAATGATGTCAATCGGGCCTAATAAACAAGAACTAGCAACTATCCTAGACTTATTGGTGAGGAATTTGCCTATCGCATGGTGAAAAACAAGCCCAACAAAAATATAGGGGCCCTTTGCTTCAGGGATACTCCTAGGTTCCGGTGCTATGGGGCACGCCTAGGTAGCTTTTCTACGGTTAAGGGTCAATTATTGTATTTGGCTCTCCTACAACCAAAGAAGTGACACAATAATGAGCGGGCCTCTTTAGATTTCTCACTGGCTTGTACTATTCTGGCCTATTTGCCAAGGGACAAGAAAATCTGCTAGTTTTCAGTGGAATCCAGAACAAAAGAAGGTTCTGCACTAGGTCAAAGCTGTCACGCAAACTTCCCTGCTTTTGCAGTTTGTGTCATATGATCCAGCAGATCCAAGTGCTTAAAGTGTCAGTGTCAACAGGAATGCTCTTTGGAACTTTTAGCAGTCTCCTACAGGTGATTTACAGAAAAGAAACTCAGAATTTTGGAGCAAAGTCTTGTCGCCATCTGTGCATTAACTACCCTCCTTTAGAGAAACTGCTCTTGGCTTGCGGGTGGGCCCTAGTAGAGACTGAGTACTTGGCCGTGGACCACCAGGTAACCACCTGAACTACCTGTCATGAACTTGTAGCTGTCTGGCCAATTCAGACATAAAATCTGTTGCGCACAGCAGAACATTACCATCAAATGGCGCTGGTATGAACTACGTAAGGTTCAAACACGCCCTGAAGACACAAGTCATTTACATGGAGAAACGACCCAAACGTCCACGTTCCCCACTCCTGCTGCATTACCTTTTCTCTTCCTGGTGCACATATGGACGCATGGGCCATGCCCTACCATCGGATTACAGTGTCAGAACACTTGGCACTGATTCAGAGATGAGTCTGTGTGATATGCAGGCATAGTCCCAAATGGAGAGCTGAGAGACACAGCCTCTTTGGGGAGCACTTCTGAAGGACAGGTGATTTATTTTTGGACATGTTCATGGCTTTATTCAATCAAACCTTGGGTATCGTTCTACCATAAGGAAGAAAAAATAATGTGAATTTGTAAGTACAGCTTAAGGTCTAGCAGGAGCGGGGGGGGGGCGGATAATAATGTGACTAAGTGTTCACAAATCAAGAATATTTACGAAATACTTGAGAGCATAAAACAAAGGAAGCTTAAGTAAAGGGCTTCTTTTTTACAAAGGTTTTATTTATTTATTTTTAGAGAGACAGGAAGTGAGGGAGAAAGAGAGGGAGAGAAACATCAACATGTTGGTTGCCTGTCACGCACCCCCTCCACCCCCGGGGACCTGGCCTGCAACCCAGGTATGTACCCCAACTGGGAATGGAACCGGCGATGCTTTGGCTTGCAGGCCAGTGCTCAATCCACTGAGCCACACCAGCCAGAGCAAGCAAAGGGGTTTTATGAGAGGAAGTTTTCCCTAGGCAGTGACTTGAGCTGAGCTCTAAACGATGACTTAGCAGAAGCTGGGGATGGAAGCCCCAATGGCCAGTGTGGCTGGAGAGCAGAAAATATACCAGAAAGGTCAGGTAGAGATTGTGTATCACCTGGGGTCCCTTGGATACATGGGATGACAATGGATGTATAGCCAAGCAAAGAAAATGCTGTTTCTTCTTTTTTTTTTAAATCATGTTTTATTGTTAAATATAAGTCGTGACACCTTGAAAGTCCCAGAGGAAAACGTAGTCAGGAAAATTTGAGATATCCCACACAGCAATATTTTTGCCAATATGACTCCTAGGGCAAGGAAATAAAGGGAAAAAAATAAGCAAATGAGACTACATCAAACTAAAAGCTTCTGCACGACTAAAGCAACACATCATCAAAATGAAAAGGGAACTGACTGTATAGGAGAACATATTTGCCAATGGTACATCGGACAAGGGTCTGGTCTCCAAAACATATAAAGAACTCACACGACTCAACACCAGGAAGACAAACAATCCAATGAAAAAATGGGCAAAGAATCTGAATAGATACTTCTCAAGGTAGGACAAACAGAAGGCCCATAGGCCTAGGAAAAGATACTCAACATCACTAGCCATCAGAAAGATGCAAATTGCAGCCACATTGACATATCACCACACACCTGTCACAAATGGCCACCATTAATAAATCAACAAACAACAAGTGCTGGCGAGGACGGGGAGAAAAGGGAACCCTAGTGTAGCACTGGTGGGAATGCAGTCTGGTGCAGCCACTGTGGGAAACAGTATGGAGTTTCCTGAGGAAACTAAAAAGGAACTGCCTTTTGAGTCAGCGATTCCAATGCTGGGATTATACCCTAAGAATCCCGAGTCACCAATTCGAAAGAACCTACGCACCCCTATGATCGTAGCACTGCTATTTACAATAGGAAAGTGCTGTAACAACCTAAGTGCCCATCAGTAAATGAGTGGATCAAAAAACAGTGGTACATTTACACACTGGAATATTATGCAGCAGAAAGGAAGAAAGGAAGGAAGGAAGGGAGGGAGGCAGGGAGGGAAGGAAGGAAGGAAGGAAGGAAGGAAGGAAGGAAGGAAGGAAGGAAGGGAGGAAGGGAGGAAGGAAGAGCTCCTACCATTCGCAACAGCATGGATGGAACAGGAGAGCATTATGCTAAGTGAAGTAAGCCAGGCAGTGAAAGACAAACACCATAGGATCTCACCTATAAGGGGAATCTAATGAACAAAATAAAGTAAGGAACCAAACAGAACCACAGGCATGGAAACATGGAGTGGACTGAAAATGCCCAGAGGGGACAGGAAAGGGGGACAGTGGTGGAAAGAAGGGGAAGGGACTAGACAAAGAACATGTAAGAATGACCCACAGACATGGGCAACAGTGTAGGAATTGACTGTGGGGGGTGGGGGGGGCGATGGGCGGAGGGGGGGCGCATTGGGACAACTGTCATAGAATAACAATGAAGGACAGTTTAAAGGAAAAGCCTTCCAGTGGGCACAACTTAGAACAATGCACTGGGTTGTTCATTCTGTTTGTAAAAAGAAATGGGGACACGTGCAATCGTATACCAATTCATGGCTGCCACCAAGAGTTTCGCCACATGAATTGGCCTTGGAAGGGAAATGTTTAGAAAATTAATGGCAAGAAGGGCTGAGAAGGAGACATGTAGGTAGACCACTCTGAATAGGCAACAACATCAGTGAAGATATCTGTATCCCATGTGAGTGCCTACCAAGTGGTGATGTATTTAAAGGAGGATTTTAATAAGTAAATGAATAGGATGACCCATTCTGTGGCTATCCACCTCTTTCCCCAGCCATTCTGTCATTGTGTGATGGGCTTAAGAACATAGTGGACATAATACCAGAGATATAGATTACACAGTCTCAGCAACATGAGGTTTCTCCCAACAGGGCACACCTGGCTACAGCCACTGCTGAATTCCCAGTCTGCCAAAGACACGGACCAATACAGAGTACTTAGCTCAGTATCATTCCCTGGGTGATCAGCCTGTTGGCAGCTTGATTACATTTTACAGCTTCCACCAAGTCACGGCAGCTTTTTGTGCTTACCATAGTAGACACTTACTCTGGATAAGAATTCGCCTTTCCTGCATGCAATGCTTCTGCACATACTGCCATCCATGGGTTCACACAGTGCCACAGCCACATTCATGGCATTTTACAAGCACTAATTTTCCTCTCAACATGAGGTCTATCTGCTTGACAAATTTGAAATTGTGCAATGCATTATTGTTAGCTATAGGCACACAGATCTCTAAAAATGGATTCACCTTGCAAAACGAAAACTCTGTGCATGTTGAAAGCAATGCTCCATTTCCCCATCTCACTAGCACCTGGCAAACACCATTAAAACCTCAGCTTCTAAAACAAAATAAGATAGCCCTACACACCGATTAGAATAGCCAAGTCCAGAATGCTAACAACATGGAATGCTGCCGAGAATGTGGAAGAGCAGGAACTCTCGTCCACTGCTGGTGGGAGTGCAAACATGCACAGCCCATCTGGGAGACTGTTTGGTGGCTTCTTACAAAACTAAGCATACTCTTACCATAGTATCCAGCGATCACCATCTTTGGTGTTGACCAGACTGGCTTTAAAACTTATCCACACAAAAACCTGCACGCTTTTACAGTAAGAAGTTTTATTCATAATCGTCAAAAGTTGGAAGCAATCAAGATGTCCTTCAGCAGGTAAGTGAACAACCTATGATACATACAAGCAATGGAAAATTACCCGGGGCTAAAAGAAATGAGCTATCAAGCCATGAAAAGACACCAGGGAATTGTAAATGTATATTATGAAGTGAAATAAGCCAATCTGAAAAGGCTACCTAGTGTACGACTCCAACTAAATGTGATTCAAGAAAGGCCAAAACTATGGAGAAAGTAAAAAGGTCAGTAGTTGCCGGGGGCTGGGGGGGAGGGCTAAATAGGCAGGACACAGGGATTCTAGGGCAGTGAAACTGCTCTTTATGACACCATGATGATGGGTCTATGTCCTTATACCTTTGTTCAAACCAGGAGAATGGACAACACCAAGAGTGGACTGCCATGCAAACTATGGCTTTTGGGTGATTATAAGGTGTCAAAGCAGGCTCATCAGTTGTGATAAACGTGCATCTGATGGGGGATGTTTACAATGGGGGAGACTGCACGCATGACGGCAGGGTTTATAAAAAATGTCTGTACATGCCCGTAAATTTCACAGAGAAACTGAAGCTGCTCTAAAAAGTCAAGTCCCAATAAAAGTAAGTATCTGCCTTTATGAGCTTGACTATTTTACATTCTATATAAATGGAATCATACAGCATTTGTTATTCTGTGACTGGCTTACTTCACTTACCATAATGTCCTCAAGGCTCTCTGTTGTGTCCCACCTGGCAGGATTTTCTTGTTTTTTAAGGCTGAATGTCATTCCACTGTAGGCATGTTCACCATTTGCCTTATCAGTTTATCTGTTGACGGACATTGAAGTTGCTTTCACATCTTAGCTATTGTAAATAAGGCTGCAATAATCATGGGGGTGTAAACGTCTCTCAAAGATCTTGACTTCAACGCTTGTGGACATTTACCCAGAAGGGGGATTGCTACGTGACATGATAGTTTTATTTCTAATTTTCTGAGAAACCTCCACACTATTTTCCATAGCAGCTGCACCATTTTACATTCCCTCCAATAGTGTGAAAGGCTTCAATTTCTCCACGTCCTCATCAATACTTATTATATCTTTGTAATAAATTTTAAAAAATGTGTCTTTGTTGTTCAAGTACAGTTGTCTCCTGTACAGGAGACACCACCACCCCCAGTCAGGAAATGCATGGATACATTTTTAATTTGGCCACACAAACAAGCAGTATCTCACGGTGGTTTTGTTTTGCATTTCCCTGGTAATTAGTGATGTTAAACATCTTTTCGTATAGCTGTTGGCCATTTGTATGTCTTCTTTGTAGTCATGTCTATTCAAGTCCTTTGCCCATTTTCAGTTATTTTTTTTTCTCCTGAAGTGGAGAGAAAAAATTCCTTTATATTTTCAATATTATCCCCTCATCAGCTATATGGTTTCTTCCATTCCATGGGTTGACTTTCCCCCCCTGTTGATTATTTCCTTTGTTGGACACAACTTCTTAGTTTGATGTAGCTGCATTTGTCTATTTTTGGTTTTGTTTGCCTCTGGTTTTGGTGTTATATCCACACACACAAAAGTCATTGGCCAGGTTCATGCCCAGAACTTTTCCCTAATATTTTCTCCTAGGAGATTTACAATTGCAGGTATTGCACTTAAGTTTCTAGCCCATTTTGAATTGGTTTCTGTGAATGATGCTAGATAAGGGTCCGATTTCATAAATGGATGTTTGGACAACATTAAATCTTCCAATCCATGAATATGTCTGTCCATTTTATTTTTGTCTTAATGTCTCTCATCAGTGCTTTTTAGTTTTCCATGTACACCTCCTTAGTTAACTTTAGTCTTCAATAGTGTGTGCTTTTTGATGCTACTGTAAATAGTATTATTTCCTTATTTTTTCTTTTTAGAGTAGATTGTTAATGTTTAGATACAACTGGATTTCGTATGTTGATGTCATATTCGGGAACTATACTGAATTCATTTATTAGTTCTAACACTTTTGGTGAAGAGTTTTTAAGATTTTCTACGTACATGAGCACGTCACCTGCAAACAGATAGTTTCACATCGTTCTTCTTGAACGGAATGACTCTAGTTCCCTTTTCTTGCCTAATTGCAGCACTGTTCAGAGCAATGGTCAAAAACTGAAAACAACCCTTAGTGTCCATCTACTACAGATGGTATAATCATACCACAATCACTTTTCTAAAATCATACACTGGAATTCTAGTCAACAATGGAGACAGAGGATCGACAGCTACTCTGATATGACATGGATGAATCTCTCAGTTATGGTGCAGAACGAAAGAAGGGAGCTATAAAAGGAAGCACACGGCATAATTCTGTTGATGTAACTTCATATAAAGTGGTGAAGCTATACAAAAAAGCACCGAGATGATTATCACAAAGTCAGGAGAATGACTCTATGCATACGAGAGGGAGTGGGTTGGGATTGGGAGGAATTCTGGGAGGCTGGCAGTGGTCTATCTCTTGACCTTGGTCCTGGTTACATGGTTGTTTGCTTTTATAAAGTGTCTAAACCTGGCACGTATGTTTTATGCAATCTTCTGTACCGCAGATGTGAAAAACGCTCCCTCCAAATAAATGTAATACAAAGAAAATTACGTGAAGTAGAAATTTTGATGACGTTTGAATTGTTATGGATGAAACACCTGATCTTTGAATCAAGAGATCGGCCAGTAGACATTGTCATTAAAAAGGGGGGAAGCAGGGATTCTTTAAACTATAGGTACCCCATCATCAAGTCATCTCTGTAAACATCTCTCTTGCTAGGCATTTCACCCCATCTTTATATCAATTCCCAACTTACTGATGACAGACAAACTGGAGGATCAACATCATCAATGACAAGATCATTAGGCATCTCAGGCCAAATCCTTCACAGTGAGACTGGGCCACCACAACTAAATGTAGGCAGGTGCACAGGGTAGTGGTAGGGGGGTGCATTGCACATGGTCATCTGTGCATTTTTTCTCGGGAGACTTCACTGCAGTGACTTAGGGTTTAACCTTACCACATCGAACTGGTACTTCCACCCAGAGACCTCCCCGTGCTAAAGAATCTAGGGAAAGCTGAGGCCTGTCCTCCCTGTGCTGTGAGACTGGACGTGAAATGTCCATGCCGGAACCGATGGTGGAAGTGCAGAGTTGGCCTAGGTCGTGCACTGTATAGAGAGAACCGGGCAGTGGTTTTGTAACGGTGGGAAATTATAACCCAGCCCACCATTCTTTTGATGTTGTTCCTATAAGTGCTGACTCGGTCTAATACGTGGCCTATAGATGAACAGCATGTTCGTATGAGAATCCTAGGAACTAGTTTCGAAAGATACAGACCCAGATCCTCAGGCATCCCAGCTCGGGGAGATTTGCTGACCTTCAACCACAGAGCCCCGGGGCCATGAAGCCAGCGTGACTAAACCAGGATGATGCACACCGGACCCCCACTTGCCTTATCGAACGGACCCTGCTCCTCTGCACTAGAGAACTCTGCAACCCCCTCTCTTGATGTCTTGGTTCTGTTCCCTTCTCCCTCCTTATAAAACACCTCTGCCTTCACTGAGAGGTGGAGATGGGCTTTGAGACAGGGGTCCCCCATCTTCCAGATAGCCAGCTTTTGCAAATAAACCACTTTCCTTTACATGGGCACCTGTCTCTGGAGTACTGGCTTTCCGCGGCAGGCAGGCAGCCGGACCCGCCTTCGGTTACAGTTTGGGTTTTCTAGATTTCCATAGAAATTGTTCCATCCCCCAGGCTTTGCTTTCTAGGCTGAACAGTGCTAATCTGTTTTGGCCCCACCTCCTACTGATTGTAATTTCTGCATCAGCAGAACAAAAAAATATTAAGTATGTGCCCCACTTTCCTGCTCAAGACCATTCTGGATAGGGAAGTTGGCCAGGAAAACAAACAACAAGAAGGACGACGACGACATCATTTTCAGTGGCAATTCCTAGTGGCAGGGTAGAGTAACGTTGACACAAACTGTATTCTCCGAGGAATAGTCTCTCATCCATCAATCCAGCCAGCCAGCCAGTCAACGAATTTTCACACGTGAGCAGTACTAAGCACCACGCTTAGCACTGGGAGGGGCTGGGGTGTTTGTTTTGGTCTATACAGGGGGGCACGGACTTCAGTTGCCTTTGCAGATAGACGCGTAGGTATTCCAGCACCAGTTACCGAGTGAAGTGTCTCTTGCCCATTACCTGGGAAGATCTGCTGGATTTCCTACTCATGTTAACTGTGGAATTTATTTATGCATACCAGGCTCTGCCTCTGGGCTTTCTTTCTGTTCCAGAGACCCAGTACCACAATATTTAAATCACTGTGGCGTTAAACACGTTTTAATATCTGATAGGGCCAGTTTCTGCGCATTGCACATTTTTTTTTCCTTTCAGGAACGTGTTCGGGCCCGCGGCAGGGGGCGGGGTCGCACCTCCTCCGCGGCTCTGGTTCCAGCAGAGCCTCTCAGACGCGGAGATGGAAATCCCGAGGCTGCTCCCGGCTCGCGGGATGCGACAGGGCGGCGGCGCTGGCAGCCCCGCGGGCGGCGGCCGAATCCACGGAGGCCCTGACCCGCGGGCTGGCCAGGCCCCCGCGCGCCGCCTCCTGCTGCTCCGGGGCCCCCAAGATGGCGGGCCCGGGCGGCGGCGCGAGGAGGCCCGCGCGGCCTCCCGGGGGCCCGGGCTCGGGCCCGAGCCCTTTGGCGCCGAGGCCGGATCAGGCCGGCGGCGGCGTCGTCGGCGGCGGCGACTTCTTCCTGGTGCTGCTGGACCCGGTGGGTGGCGACGTGGAGACCTCGGGCGCTGGCCAGGCCGCAGGGCCCGTCTGGAGGGAGGAGGCCGAACCCGGCCCAGGGCTCCAGGGGGGCGAGAGCGGCGCGAACCCCGCGGGCCGCCCCGCGCCAGGGCCCCGCTGCCTGTCCGCGCTCCCCGCCCCGGCCCCGTCCCCCGATCCCCGCCCCAGGCCTGGGCCCCGCCGCGGCCTTCGCGGGCACCGTGACCATCCACAACCAGAACCTGCTGCTGCGCTTCGAGAACGGCGTCCTGACCCTGGCCACGCCCCCGCCGCCAGCCTGGGAGCCCGGGGTGGCGCCTGCCCCGCAGCCCGGCGGTCTGGTCGCCCCGCAAGCGGGGGTTCCACACGCCGCGCAGCCTGGCGACTGCCCGGAGCTGCCGCCGGACCTCCTGCTGGCCGAGCCCGCGGAACCCGCGCCAGCCCCTGCGCCGGAGGAGGAGGCGGAGGGCCCGGCCGCGGCCGAGAGCCCCCGCGGGCCGCTGGGCCCGGGCCCGGGCGTGGTGCTGTACCTGTGTCCGGAGGCGCAGTGCGGGCAGACCTTCGCCAAGAAGCACCAGCTGAAGGTGCACCTGCTGACGCATAGCAGCAGCCAGGGCCAGAGGCCCTTCAAGTGCCCCCTGGGCGGCTGCGGCTGGACATTCACCACCTCCTACAAGCTCAAGAGGCACCTTCAGTCGCACGACAAACTGCGGCCCTTCGGCTGCCCGGCGGAGGGCTGCGGTAAGAGCTTCACCACCGTGTACAACCTCAAGGCGCACATGAAGGGCCACGAGCAGGAGAACTCGTTCAAGTGTGAGGTGTGCGAAGACAGCTTCCCCACTCAGGCCAAGCTCAGCGCCCACCAGCGCAGCCACTTTGAGCCTGAGAGGCCCTACCAGTGCGCTTTTTCCGGCTGCAAGAAGACGTTCATCACGGTGAGTGCTCTGTTTTCCCATAACCGCGCCCACTTCAGGGAGCAGGAACTCTTTTCCTGCTCCTTTCCTGGCTGCAGCAAACAGTACGACAAGGCTTGTCGGCTGAAAATCCACCTGCGGAGCCACACCGGCGAGAGACCTTTCCTTTGTGACTTTGACGGCTGTGGCTGGAACTTCACCAGCATGTCCAAACTGTTAAGGCACAAAAGGAAGCACGACGACGACCGGAGGTTCATGTGCCCTGTGGAAGGCTGTGGGAAATCTTTCACGAGGGCCGAGCATCTGAAAGGCCACAGCATAACCCACCTGGGCACGAAGCCTTTTGTGTGCCCTGTGGAAGGCTGCTGTGCCAGGTTCTCCGCCCGCAGCAGTCTCTACATTCACTCCAAGAAACACTTGCAGGATGTAGACACCTGGAAGAGCCGTTGCCCAGTGTCCACCTGTAATAAACTCTTCACATCGAAGCACAGCATGAAGACCCACATGGCCAAAAGGCACAACCTCGGCCAGGATCTCTTGGCTCAGCTAGAAGCTGCAAATTCTCTCACGCCCAGCAGTGAACTGACCAGCCAGGGACAGAGCGATCTCAGTGATGCAGAGCTGGTGTCTCTCTTCTCTGATGTGCCTGGCAATAGTTCTGCTGCAGTGCTGGACACGGCATTGGTGAACTCGGGAATCTTGACTATCGATGTGGCTTCTGTGAGCTCCACTCTGGCTGGGAGCCTCCCTGCTAGCAACAGTAATTCCTTAGTGCAGGCTGTGGACCCGCGGGCCTTGATGGCCACAACTGACCTCCCTCAAAGCCTGGATACCTCTCTCTTTTTTGGAACGACAGCCACCGGTTTTCAGCAGAGCCCCTTAGATATGGATGATGTCACCAGCGTGAGTGCGGGGCCATTGGGATCTCTGGGCTCTCTGGCTATGAAAAACTCCAGTCAGGAGCCCCAGGCTTTGACCCCCAGCAGTAAGCTGACTGTGGACACGGATGCTCTGACTCCTTCAAGCACCCTTTGTGAAAACAGTGTCTCAGAACTACTGACGCCGACCAAAGCAGAATGGAACGTACATCCTGATGCTGACTTCTTTGGGCAGGAGGAAGAAACCCAGTTTGGATTCTCCAACCCAGTGGGAAACCATGGTTGTCAGAAAGAAACAGATCTGATCACGGTGACTGGCAGCTCATTTTTGGTATGAACTCGCTATTCGTTCCTCGCAACGTTGGTTACTTTTATTAATTATGCTCATTTTCAAGGATGTTCTGGACTAAATGTGTAACTGTGCTTCTTTTTCTTCTTCTTCTTTTTTTTTAACAGGTTTGAAAAAGAACAGAGCCCCAGGCTACAAGTTCCGCGGTTTCCCTGCTGATCTGGAGTCTGGAACTGATGAGTTGTGTGACCCTGAGCAAGTCACTTAACCTATCTGAGCCTTAATGTCTTTATTTATAAAATGAGGTGGTTTGAATAGATTGTTT